TCATCCCAGCCAGGGCTTTTGTCAAGCCGGGCCTTAAAAACCTCCAAGGAAGGAGATTCCACCACTTCCCTAGGTAACGCATTCCAGTGCTTCACCACCCTCCTAGTGAAATAGTGTTTCCTAATATCCAACCTAGACCTCCCCCACTGCAACTTGAGACCATTGCTCCTTGTTCTGTCATCTGCCACCACTGAGAACAGCCGAGCTCCATCCTCTTTGGAACCTCCCTTCGTTGAAAGCAGCTATCAAATCCTCTCATTCTTCTCTTCTGGAGACTAAACAATCCCAGTTCCCTCAGCCTCTCCTCATAATTCATGTGCTCCAGCCCCCTAATCATTTTTGTTGCCCTTCGTTGGACTCTTTCCAATATTTCCACATCCTTCTTGTAGTGTGGGGCCCAAAACTGGACACAGTATTCCAGATGAGGCCTCACCAATGTCGAATAAAGGGGAACGATCACGTTCCTCGATCTGCTGGCAATGCCCCTACTTATACAGCCCAAAATGCCATTAGCCTTCTTGGCAACAAGAGCACATTGTTGAGTCATATCCAGCTTCTCATCCACTGTGACCCCTAGGTCCTTTTCTGCAGAACTGCTACCTAGCCGTTCAGTCCCTAGTCTGTAGCAGTGCAAAGGATTCTTCTGTCTTAAGTGCAGGACTCTGCATTTGTCCTTGTTGAACCTCATCAGGTCATTGCTGTTCCATGTTTTGTTAAACGGACGAGGTCCTCCAGTGAGGTCTGGGGAATTGAGTGGGATTGCCAGGACAGGAACACCAGCTTGAGAGTGGGCTGGGATGTGGCTGCAGACCCAGCAATTAGAAATATTAAGGGTCTGAGCTATCCACACTTGCTACTGGATAAAAGAATTGTCATCATGGACTCCCCCAGACCTTAAGACACCAGCAGCCGAGGAACAGGCACCACCAGAGGCTCATGTTGGAGGTAAGGCCCTTCTGGTTCTGACAACCTCAACTGAGGGAACCGCAGTCACGGTTTTACATCCACCAGGCAGCAGGCGCTAGGCTCACTACTGCTTCTTCTTGCGCCTTGCTTTAGGTCATCGTCTGCTTCTGGCAACCCTTACAAGAGCGTAGATGGTAAGGTATTGCAGGCTGTTCCTCTACGTCTTCTTCTGGAGTCAAAATTGACTCTGCGTGGTTCTGAGGTGATGATTGGTTCTCCGGGGAGGCGAAGCACGTATCCGCGCTGCGATGCCAGATAGTTTAACAGCCATCTGGGTAGTAAGCAGTACCTGATGAGGACACTTCCACCGGGGCTCCAAGGTGTGTTTTCGATGGTGCCGTACGTAGACCCAGTCACCTGGCTCGAGGTTGTGGCAAGCGTCAGAGGTGGGTTCTGTTGGCCAGGCGGCTTGAACCTGTGAATGGAAGTGACTTACGGCTTGCATTAGTCCCTTGCAATATTGAAGGAGCGTACTGTGAGTCAAGTTCACGTCTGGGACTGGAGTAATGGTAGCCATAGCTCGCATAGGGCGTCCCATAACAATTTCAAAGGGACTCAATTTATGCCTTTGGGATGGAGTGGATCGCATTTCCATAAGGGCCAACGGTAAGGGTGCTGGCCAGCTTAACCCTGTAGAGTCACAAATTTTAGCAAGCTTATTCTTAAGTACACCATTTCGCCTTTCCACTGCACCTACGCTCTGTGGGTGGTAGGGACAGTGCAGCAGGTGTGTGATATGTAATATACGATCCAGGTGTTGAACAATTTGTCCGGTAAAATGTGTACCCCGATCACTGGACAGAGTGGCAGGAATTCCCTTGGCAGGCATAATATGATTTAACAAACATTTGGCAACAGACAGTGAGTCAGCCTTGCGACAAGGAAAGGCTTCGATCCAACCAGAAAATAAACATACCATAACCAAAATAAATTCATATTGTTGTCACTTCGGCATTTGTACAAAATCAAGTTGCCAATGCAAGAATGGTGCCTGGGGCAGGCCCCGGAACCCCTGAGCCACTTTTACAGGTTTACCAATATTGTGGCTTTGGCAAGTGGTACCGGCGGCACAGTGGCGGGCTGCAAAATTTCTGAAATGCGAGGCCCACCATCCTGCCTTAGTTGTAGCAGAGACCATCCCCTCCTTTCCGACATGTGAAACACCGTGTAGCAGGGCGGCCAGAGACGGGTAGAGTGAACAGGGGGCCGCAAAGGCACCAGTAGGCAAACGCCAAAGGGTATCAGGATGTAGAGAGCAACCCAGGAGTCTTTTTCGGCTTCTGGGGCAGAGTCTTGGAGCAGGGTGAGGTTAGTGAGGGACGGCGGTGGTATAGAAACAGAAAGGGAACCTAGAAACGCATCTGGAGAAGGTTCTATGGCAGCAGCATGTTTAGCAGAGGCGTCAACAAATGCGTTACCCTTAGCAACATCAGTATCCGCCATCGAGTGGCCAGGGCACTTAACAAGAGCTAGGGCAGAGGGAAGTAAAACTGCGTACAGGAGAGCAGCGATGTAGGGGCCATTTTTGATAGGGGTACCGGTGGAGGTAAGGAAACCCCGAGCTTGCCAGAGGGTGCCAAAGTCATAGCGGGAGTCAGTGTAAATGGTGGTGGAGTGTCCCTCCCCCAAAAGCAGGCACGGGCGAGGGCAACTAATTCGGCAACTTGCGCTGAGGTTACAGAAGGTAAAGGCGCAGCTTCTAGCGTTTCAGAGAGTGACACTACAGCGTCTCCTGCAAGGTTGTCTCGAAAACAGGAACCATCAGTAAACAAAACAAGGTGAGAGTTGGGGAGAGGGACATCAGAAAGGTCAGAGCGCGGGACGGTAACAGCAGAAACAGTTGCAAGGCTGTCCTGGGGATCACCGTCATCAGACAAAGGAAGGAGAGTGGCAGGGTTTAACTGAGAGCAACGCTTTATGGTGATATACGAAGCCGACAGCAGTAAAAGTAAGGCGGGCGGAGGAGAGGCGGCCTGTGTTACGTTGTAGCAGGAGAGTTTCCACAGAGTGAGACCATGAGGGTAAGGGGAGAGCGAAGGACAAGGGATTCGGACATTTCGACTAGGCGCGCTGCGGCAGCCACAGCGCGCAGGCAGGGGGTAAGCCTTGGGCAACAGGGTCCAAAGTGGCAGAGAAATAAGCCACTGGGCGGTTTTTGTCTCCGTGCATCTGAGTGAGGACTCCAAGTGCACACCCAGATTGTTCGTGGCGGTAAAGGGTAAAAGGCTTAGAATATTCAGGCAGCCCTAAAGCAGGGGCAGAATCCAAACCCTGTTTGAGGGAAACAAAGGCAGAGTCGGCCTCAGGGGGCCCACTCTGGGGTCAGGCACAGAGACTTGAGTGAGTTCCTGGAGAGGTTTTTGCAAGGGAGGCATATTGGGGAATCCATTGCCTGTAAAATCCAGCCATGCCCAAAAACCTTTGGACCTGGCGTGGGGAGCGGGGTCGGGGAAAACTGAGGATAGCTTGGACGCGGGCGGGAGAAAGTGTACGGGAACCCTGGGAGAGGAGAAAGCCGAGGTATGTGACGGAGGCCTGACAGAACTGTAGCTTAGAGTGAGAAGCCTTGTGACCCTTCTTTGCTAGGGCAGTAAGGAGCACTAAAGAATCAGTTTCTGAGGCAGACAACGAACAGGAACAGAGGAGTAGATCATCTCCATATTGGACTAGTGTGGACCTGGACAGAAAAACAAGGTCAGTGAGGTCTCGGGCTAATGCTTGGGAAAAGTAAGATGGGCTTTCAGTACACCCCTGAGGGAGCGTGGTCCACGTGTACTGCTGCCCCTTGTAAGAAAAGGCAAAAAGATACTAGGAGTCAGGGTGAACCGGGACAGAAAAGAAAGCAGAACACAAATCAACAACAGTAAAATGAGTTGCACCTGGTGGGCTAGAAGCCAGAATCATTGCTGGGTTAGGGCCAACAGGAAAGGCGGGTATGACAATGCGGTTAATGGCTCGAAGATCTGAACAAACCGCCACGATTTACCGTCAGCTTTTCGAACTGGGAGGATAGGGGTGTTACAGGGGCTGGAGCAGGGAACAATAATGCCTTGTTCCCGCAGGGCGGTCATGACCGGAGCAATGCCAGCCTCTGCTTTGGGGTTTAAAGGGTATTGAGACAGGCGAGGCAGGGGTTTAGAGGAGTCAACAGTAATGCAGACAGGGTCAGTATTTAAGCAGCCCGCTTCAGATGGGTGGGTTGGCCACAGAGAGGATGGGACCTGTGAAATTAGGTGTTCAAGGGACAGGATCAATGGGTAACAGGAAACTGGAGTGGAAAGGGGAGTTTCAGACAGCAGGGAGGCCATAGAATCACTCAGAGAGGACTGGGTGATTTGTAAGTAGACACCATCCGGGGAACAATAGATGGTACAGCCAAGTTTACATAACAGATCCCAACCCAAAAGGTTTACCGGAGTGGAATCAGAGAGAAGGAAGGCATGATCCACGGAAAGGGGACCAACCTGGACCAGTAGACATTTTGAAAGGGGATAAGGGGTTGGGACTCCCATAATACCCACAGCGGACACGGTTTTTCTGGAGCGGGGAACCACAGGCAGATCGGTAGTACGAATTGCAGAGAGCGAAGCTCCCATATCAACAAGGAAAGGGAGAGAAAGATCATTAATAGTCAAAACACACTCACCCGTGGGAGTGAGAGGTAGTAAAGGAGCTAAAATTTCCCGAGGTTCCCCGGCGTCCCATCATCGCTGTGGGACAAAGTAAGGCTGGGGACTGCCGGGCTGTGCTGGCAGGGGGTCTAGCTGGTTATTTACAGAGTTATCAGGCCGGTTCGGACACTCGTTCTTCCAATGTCCGGGCTGCTTTCAGTAATTACAAACATCCCCAAAACCCGAAAATCCAGTTCCACGACCCCTCCCGTGACCACGTCCCCGTCCCTGGAACCTTCCCCGTCCCCGATACTGTTTGCCCTGCCTTGAATAATAACGTATTTGCAGGGCCATTAATTGTTGAGAGGACTGCTACTTAGAATCAAACAAGTACATTGAATATATGAATATTGGTTCTTTTTGGACTGCCGCTGCAAATTGAGTGGATGTTGAGGGACGAGGTTCATCCCTCCCCACTCTCCAGTCCCGCAGTGTTTCGCATTTCAGCGCTGCCGAGAAGTTTCCCACTCATCACGGCTGACCGGTCCCCACCGCTGGCATCCTCCGGCTGCGTCATCTCTGCCAGCTCCTGCATTTCCTGCACGGGGCTTGCGTCGCCGGCCTGCTGGGACGGGGCGGCTCTGGCACGGAAGCCAAGACAGCTGCGCAACCAACGACAGGAGAGCAGCGTTAGTGGGAGAGTTGGACAAAGCAGGCGAAAATTTCCAGCCTCTCTACCATGCTCAGCGTTCCACCCCGGCACACAAAAGGGATTTTTCAGTTCAAGACGCTCCACAGTCCCCGGCTAATCATGGGTTTGCCGATTTTCCTGGGGCTCCGAGGTGCTACCATAACACAGCTAATAGATACTGTACAGTGTCTACCGCTGTGTGGTGCTGGGCCATGACTGGGGTGCTAGGCACCATACACTTTAGATTAAGGTTCACTTGATAGCTGGTTTATAAAGCATTTGTACATGGTGAATATGTGGTCTCAACATACTAAACACACAGGTAAAGAGTGTACTTGTCTACACAGGGCCACTCAAGAAAACTAATCAGAATTGGCTTTTAAAATGTATTAGTTAAACCAAATTAAACCCCTGTGTGGACACTCTCCTTCAAAATTAAGGCAGCCTGAATTCTATTTAGCTTAATTCACTTCCAGAGTGAATTGAATTCAGGCCACTTCAATTCTAAATAAGGCCTGGTCTACACTACGGGTTTAGGTCGACTTTAGCAGCGTTAAACCGAATTAAGCCTGGACACGTCCACACAACGAGGCCCTTTCTTTCGACTTAAAGGGCCCTTTAAACCGGTTTCTTTACACCACCTCCGACGAGGGGATTAGCGATAAAACCGGCCTTTGCGGGTCGGAATTAGGGTAGTGTGGACGTAATTCG